CCCCTCAAAAGCCCTCTGGCCTGGAGCCTATCCCAAAGGCTCCACAGGGGTGTCACTTGAGGTGGTACCCCTCCAGGCTGCTGGTGTGCGATTCGCCCTCCCACGGTTCGGGGAGAGCGTCCGCCATTGCTGCTTCATAAACCGGAAGTCCATGTGGTATCTATATATGGTCACAATCCTGTAACTGAAAACGTGGGCTATTTAGGAGTCTGAAGAAAAGCTTAGAAATCTAACTGCACTAAATGTAAAACATGTTTAAGCCATTAGTGCCAGATTATAGCCTCCCATCTCCATTTTTCATGAGGAATATTTACCCTAAGTGGACATGAATAGAGGTCTTCATCTGAGTCATCTGTCTGTAATTTGGCATACCATCAATTACCCAGGGAAAACTGATCATACTGTGAGTCTTTGGTTGATATAATTAATGCACGTATATTCTTCTCTTGAGATTTTCTAGGCCATAAGGACGGCAAAAATATTTAAAACTGTTAATACTGAGGGGTGAGTGCAGCAACAGATTGGCCATTATGGCCACTGGGAGGCGTTCCAGTCACTGATGGACTTGGGACTGCATCTTCTGAGCCCCCCCCCCCTTGGGTCAGCTAGCCGGGGAGTGAGGAGATCCTTCAGGCTGAGCACAAGCTCACTGCCCAATCCAGGCAAATCATGTGGTGTCCACCACTTAGTATGGCTGAATCCTGTGGCAGTGGCTGTTGTCCTGGCCAGCGACCCATGTACTCAGCAGTGATACTACAGCTAAGCGAGGTGCCATGTGTTACTGGCCTACTTGGCCCTGCCCTCCCTCCATCAGTGGGTGTGTGGTGAGGAGGGAGCATGGCCATTTCCTGGGCTGTTTTGGCCTCCTAGTCCACCCCTGGATGAGAGAGATGGTAATGAATCAGCACTTTAATTACTAACATTAGAAAGTCACAAGAAGGGGGACCCGCGATACTCATGGGGGGAGAGAAGCTCCACGGGAGGAGAAGGAAGCAGCCGCAGGTGAGCCTTCTCCCCTGCCCCGCCCGTCCCTGGCACCCACTGCGAGGCCCGCGCACCTCCAAGCCTTCTCCCTCCTCCCCCTCTCCAGCACTGGTGGCGAGACCTGAATTCAGCCCGCCAAGCTTTCTCTCTCTCCCCTTCCCTAGTGGCGGCGAGGCCTGGCTGGCCTGCCAAACTTTCTCCCTCCCCCCCTTCCCCCCAGCAGTGGCGAAGCCTGAACTCGGCCTGCCAAACTTTCTCCCTCCAGACAAACCATAAAAAAACAGTCTGCACATTTCTCTTTATCTCCAAAGTGGTAGTGGTGGTAGCTGGGGTTTTCCTTTTTTGAAGTGAAAGCTAGGGATTCAGGGAGGGGACGTGGCACATTTCTGAGGGGGCAGTGTCCTCATGTCCCTCCCTGTATCAATTGTCTTGCAGTGCAGTCAGCTGAAAAACTGTGTAGACATACTGAGGAAACTTAACACTGTTTTGAAGAATTGCACATTTGCCACTTACAAACAATATATGATGGCACCTTTGTAGCCATAGAGCCCATGCTCATCAGCAATGGTTCTATATTTGAGCAGGATGGACTGTCTTCCTTTGCAGTAGCTTTTACCCTTTTTTAATTCCAGGATTAACCTGATATACATATTTGTGTTTTTATTTCCCTGCTAGATAAGATAACATTTGATATTTTTTTTTGTCAGTTGTGAATTGGTTAGTTGTTGGAAATACATAGTCGGGATGAAAGAGATTTTTAAAAAAACTCTAAAGGACGATACATGATAATTCAGGTTTCTGCAGGATAGCATGGGGGGCTGCGAATTTTGGGGACAGTGCTTTGGTTTTAATCTGGAACAGGAGTCATGTCTAGGGCATGTCTGTGAAGCCAACGTATCTGAAGAAACTTGAAACTCATTCTGAACAGGTCACCTGAGCAAAAAAAAAAAAATTCTGGAAATTGCTTTTAGGACACCATTTGAAAATGCACCTTCATGTATTAGAGGCCTGCATCCTAAACACTGGCTGATATTCAGATCAGCATGTGAAATTCTTACCTGTGTACGTATGAAGCAGCCTTCCAGCCCAGCACTGTCTTTGCTGACTGGCATCAGATCTGTAAGGTCTTGAACAGAGATCTTTGCTAGCTCTCATAGGGAAGATCATTTTAAGTGTATGCCTACAGTAAAGGAGACGGTTGCCGGTTGTAAAACATTATGCTTTCGTCAGAAGTCCCAGCCATAAATTAAATCCTAGGGGAGTAAACTTTAATTCCGGAGTATTCAAGAACTTTTCTGTGCATGCTGCTAATGAGAATTTTCATACACTCTCTCACAGATTGTGTCTCCTTCTTCAAGATGCTTATGGGATGTTCAGTGAGGTTCAGTTTCAGATCTTATCATCGTCTCTAGAACCGATTGAAGAATACAGCAAAAGGTGGGAAGGAAAGTACTGTGATGTATCTGGTATAAAAGTTCAGCACAGAGTCACCAGAGGAAGGTGAGAGTTAATACTTTAAGATTTTTTTTTTTGGCTTTTTCTAGATTATGGGTAGCTAACCTATACCTTCTGTCTTGCAAGTAGCATTGTCTGCACAGACTTGCGGCAATTAGGACCTGTATGCCTCCTGAGCCTCCTGCAGTGTGCTGCTGCCTGCTCCCTGGCTCAGTGGACTGGAGACTGAACTACACCAAGGCTCTGGGGTGGTGTAAGGGAGGGTTGCATATTCACCAGCACTCAGTATAGAGTGTCTAGTACTTTGGACTTGTTACGGCATTCTTGGCAAAAACCATTGGCCACCATAGATCTGGATCACTGAGCTCAGTGGAACTGGAGTACAGTTAAAACTTTGATTTAGTATATGATAATGTGATGAGTCAAAAGCATAGCTTAGAACCAGTATAAAAAGTTTGATTGGATCAATCGTAGTCCTCATAAAAATATGTAAAGATTTTTACTACCACTGCACCTTTAGGAAAGTAAGAAATGTGCCAAATAATTTGCCAGTTTTCCTTTGTTTCAGGTAAGGTTTGATGCCTCAAGTAAGATTTAGTAAAGATCCCACAGAATCCAAGAGTTGCTTATCTCAGTAAACAGGCTGCATTCTTTGCAAGCAGAAGGTCCCAGATTCAATTCCTGCCATCTCCACTGAAAGGGTCCCAGGAAGCAAGTAATGGAAGCAATTCCTCTGTGACATCCTGGGAACTGCTGCCAGTCAAATTAGATAATACTGAGCTAGATGGACCACTGGTCTGACTCAGAAAAGCTCAGTTTTTCTGTATGTATGGTCCAGTTTATGTTAGGCTTTCTCCGTGAACTTATATTCCTATGTAGTTGATGATACTGAGAAACTGAAAAGTGTGACCTAAGCTCATTTCTTTTTAGCTTTTCCTCTTAAGGAGGACATTCCATATCCCTAACTGGGTTTTTAAAAATGTTCTTCCCTGTATAGTTCCACGATTCTGTTTTGACTTTGGGACTGACAAGTCATTACATCATGAGCTCAATTAATAGTACATGGAAGCGTGTCTTTGCTTCCTGGCATCCTTTCATGCTGTTGCTCTTACTCATATATGACTGAGTTTCACTACCATAACCTGAATTCTTTGCAATAGATTAAGACAGGGTGACCTATAGAGAATTATGATAAAACTAGGGAAAAGTGGAAATGCACAGAATTCTATTGTGTAAAATTTGCCAAGTACACTATTTTCCATGTGTGACACTCTAAGTAGGAAAAGAATTTAGGAATGCTACTCTGATCCCTGGCCGTTTTAAGTAAGGAAAAAAAATCTCTACAAATGCTGTACCAATAGAAGCTATCATTATGTTACAATTAGCTTACGAGTTTGAAGAATACGTTGACAGAAGTAAAAGTAAAACCCAACTTTAATTTGACTTGTGATCCTTCTTCCAGAGTTTGTGTTTAGTATGACAGATATCACTAAAGAGTTGAAAACACTTAGGCAGTATGATCACAATGGTGATGTCTTTCTAACATAATATCCATTCCAGATCCATTGCAGTCCGTGGAAGTAAAATTCCTGACCCCCACACTGATCACATCAGTTTATTATCTGTATATGGAGCTGTCAAAATTCCCACTAAACTACTTTTATCAAGAGGAGATGATTCCTGACTCTTATTGTGTTTCCTTGCAGCTGTTTGACCATGACTGGTCTTCCATCTCTCTTCTGCTCCCTTTGCAACATGACATCTTCATCTTTCCTGTTCCCTACAAGACTACTACACTTTCACTTTGAGCTCTGTTTGGGTTCCTTTATTAGTTTTCAGGCCTTCACCTACCTCTGTGCTCTGGTTTCCAAATTTAGTTTTGTACTCTTAAGAACATAGGAAGAGCCCTGCTGGATCAGACCAGTGGTCCATCTAGTGCAGCATCCTGTCTCACACAGTGGCCAACCAGTTCCAGTGGACAGCCAACAACAGGGCATAGAGGCCGAGGCCTTCCCCAATGTTGCCTTCTGGTTCTGGGATTCAGAGGCTTAGCATTCCCTCAGTCACCATGGCTAGTAGCCACTGATAGACTTATCCTCCATGAATCTATCTTGTCTCCCATTAGTCCTATATTTCTGACACTTCCTCTTAAGTCAGTGCTTCAAGCTGAATGTGTCAAAGGTGAAGTTCCTTATTCCGCCCTCATTTTCTGACACTATCGAAAGTACTTTTTCATAGCCACATAACCAACTTTCCCTTTCATTGTCATCCTCCAGCTGTAAGCACCTTTAAGAACTGCTGTTTCATCTTAGTATATTATAACCTCCCACCCAATACTCTGCTCTTACTTTTGAATGGTTTTGCAGCCTGCTCAGCTTTCCCTGACTCATTAATTTAGAATGTCCCTGTTAAAATGTTTTCTGTCACTGTATTAGTATTCCCCTGTCCTTTCATCTCTTCAGTGGTGTTCTGTTGTTTTCTACATCCCCACTTGTGCCACGGAAGCTGGCTGGGTGATCTGATGCCAGTCACATGCTCTCAGCCTAATCTACCTCACAGGGTGGTTGTGTGGATAAAATGGAGGAGAGGAGAATGATATAAGCTGCTTTGGGGTCCCCACTGTGGAGAAAGGCAGGGAATAAATGAATCAAATAAACAAATCTGTTTCAGACTTTGTTCTTTTATTCAGTACTCTCCATGTCTCTGCCATTGCCTGTGATCCTATTATTGTCTCATTGAAACAAAATGGTCTCTGCCTTCCTGAGGCTTCTCTAGTAATGTCTATAAAGAAGAAGAAGAGAAGAGATTCATGCTACCCGAAGGTGTCTCAGAGCGGCTTACAAAATCCTTTCCCTTCCCCTCCCCACAACAGACACCCTGTGAGGTAGGTGGGGCTGAGAGAACTCTGACAGAAACTGCTCTTTTTCAAGGACAGCTCTTATCAGAACTACGGCTTGCCCAAGGTCATCCAGCCAGGTGCAAGTGGAGGAGTGGGGAATCAAACCCGGTTCTCCCAGATTAGAGTCTGCGCACTTTAACCCCTACACCAAACTGTCTATAAAGAGGAGAATGAGTAGTGTGGTTCCTTTCCAAGTCACCTAGGCCCTTCTCTTGGATTGGCAAGGGAAGGAACCACATCATTGATCTGATCCGCATGGTTCCTTCAGACAGACATTACTAGAGAGGCATCAGATCCAGCCACGAGGCTGCAGTAACTATTTTGCAGTGGTAACATATGATTTGGCCCTTACCCCTTAGCTTTCTCCACTCAATACCAGCATGTCGATCTCTGTTTTAGTCTTCTGTATCCCAGTGTCCATTACTTCTCTTTCAAGATTCAGATTCTGATATGACACATGTAGAAAGATAACCAAGTTCTGCTAATCAGACAAGGATATTTCCCGCTACACAGAACTATTTGGTAGCATTTTGTTACCTTTCATAAATGAATATAGTGAGACAGATGATTTAGGTGTTGTAGGTTGAAACCATACTGCTGTGTGTAGCAAGGTACAAAATCACTCTGGAACTAGGACAAGTTCAATACCATTCGTGGCCACCTTGAGCCATGGGGAAGGTTGTGATACAAATATTTCAATAAACAAAATATATGTTAATTATTGTTCATTAGGGCCTAGGCACTAATGGTGATAAGTATGTATTTTTAACAACTGCTGCTGATGGATCAGTGCCTTTGAATAAGATCAAATAAACAACAATAAAATTAATATAGTATAATATGTAATTAAAACCTATGTAGTACAGCTTAATAAATTAGTTTAATGCTTAAGAATCAATGTTCCTTCTTTTGCTACTGGCAGAAAGTGAGGTTTAATAAGGATAACTAAAATTTAGAATTCAACAAGAAACTATTAAATTAATTTCCTTTCATAATCCTGGGTGGTTTCATTGGATTTTAAATCCTTTTAAATAAAACATCTTAAACTGTAAAGCTAGATTTTATGCTTCATGTATTTTGCTTCTGTGTGTTTGATTTTCCTAGAAAGCCGGGGCTTTTTAGCCTAATAGACAGCTTGTGGCCTCCAGTGTTGCCTCTAAAAGTTCCTGGTCATAGTCAAGAGAATGCCATGGTAAGATAGTATTTTTATAAACAAAACAACCCCCTCCCCATTAAGCATTTGTATTTTATAAGGTAAGAGCATCTGTTATGTGCCTTCTTGTTCCCTCTTGAAGGTTCTGCTGCATATCTTGGTTTTGCTTAATACAACTCCAAGAACAGGCCTTTTCAGTGTGGTAACCATCATGGTCTATTGCAGTAAAAACAAAGAGCCTTGTGGAATCGTAAAGAGCTTTTTTGAAATTCTAATCCATCATTTATGTCAGGAGTTCCTAATGTGCTGCCTGTGGGCACCATGGCACCCACCAACATCTTTGCCGGCACCTTCCAAGGGTTCTGATGGCCTGTTGGAGATCTGATTGACTGTACAGATTTTTTAAAATGTTGCTTTGTCAGGAGCTGCTACCACAGCACAAGGACCATTTTGTAGCTCGCTCTGCCTCCCTTGGGAGCCATTTTTGGGCAGCCATTTGGCAGCTGCATCCACCACCCTGGATCAAAATTCCAAAGGTGCCCAGTGGCTCAAAAAGGCTAGGGACCCCTATCCTAAACGGAGAGGCACTGAAATACAAACATTTTACCTGATTTGTCAATTCTCTGTTCTTCCTTATGGACAAAGGACAATTTCCTCACTAAAATCGGACTTCCCTCCCACCTTCCTGGCCACTGCCAGAATCCTCATCCATTAAGTCTTCTTCTATGAAAGGGGAGTCCCCAGACACATAGTCTTTCCTTCTTCTTTTTTTGGCCCCCCCGTAGGGGATTTTTAAAATTTGCATTTCTATAAACTACAAACTATAAAAACTACAACGAAATCAGGGTAGGGAACTACATACTATAGGAAAAAGTAAAGAAAACCCTCTAAAAACCCAAGAGATGGTGATCTTACATACTGCTTAAAGTTATAAGCTTATAACACTTAATTGCTTAAAATTAATTGAATGTGATCATCAAATACTCAGTCAAAGCTAACAATATGATTTTAAACACCTCTACTTCTGACTTCTTACAATATAAGACTTATATCAATATATTTTAAACGCTTTGACACATAGTCTTTCCTGAGCAGCAGAGGGCCCCAAATGTGTTGTCCTTATTGGAATGAGAACATATTTTCTAGATACAATACCATGCTAGTTTATCTGTGAAATGCATGGGACACTAATGATGTCAGTCACTGTAGATCAGGGGTCCCCAACCTTTTTTTGGACACAGCCACAAAATGGCTTCCACAAAATAGCTGCAGCAGAAGCCAGAGCCAGTCACAAAGTGGCTGCAGCAGCTTCCCTTCAGTCCACACAGTGAAGTTCCTTGTTCTGTGATAGCAGCTTCTGCCAAAGCAATATCTTTAAAAAGCTGCATAACCAATCAGATCTCCAGTGGCCAACAGAAATGTTGCTGGGCAAAAGTCCCACCTGGCCCCACCCACTTTCTAAAGGCACTTGGTGGGCACCAGGAAAGGTGTCAGGACAGTCAGGGGGGTGGCCACAGCACCCACGAGCACGATGTTGGGGACCCTTGTGATACGCTATGCCAGTTGTTTAATTACTGCGACTGTGAACCAGTGATATCATACTTTTTGTTGGCAGTAACATGTATTCATCTCCATATTTTTATTAGCACAAATGTGTCTGCCTAGTACACATTATTTTGCATTTAAATTAACATTTTTAAGCTGATGTAATTGTTACTTCTTGGAAGGCTCCATGATGGATCAGAAACCAGCCTATCTGCTAGAAACATTTGAAAGGAATCCAGTTTTGGTTTGACATTATGTTTGAAAATGGGAGGGAGAAAAATTAATAGCTGAACAGCTGTTTCCATTAATCTTAATTCTGGTATGATTTTTAGGCACTTTCAAGCAACAACTCCCTAAATGAATTATATAACTTTCATGGCAATGAAAAAGATGGCTAATACTGAAAGCTCTAGCACTTGTAAAGGCGCTGGATATTATCTTTTAAATAAAAGATTTGGTCTCTTTGTAACAGAGAATCAGTCACATTGCTTCATGTTCCCATTATGCTTGTTCCCTATTATGCTCTTGCTGCCCGAGATTAAATTTGGCAGCATGTGTGTTTTTCAGTGATGCGGCTTCATCTGTTTATTGTCAAATTCACCCACGTGCTAAAATTCTCAAATGTCAGAGAAATCATCTTAAGGCATAAAAATAATGGAATCCGTTTCCACAGTGGCTGCCCTGTCAAAAACAGCTTTTAGGAACTGTTGATTGTGCTTAGGTATGTTTTCTTGTGACACAGATTCCTGGGTGTATCCACAGAGCAAAGTACAAATAAAATATTATTCCTGGTCTTGCCAATAGGGTCAGTCTTTCAATATCTGGAGAGGATTCTGCTACTACAAAATGGTGTGTCTGTGTGTTGCGGCGGTTATCCATATGTTGCTTCTGCCAGCCTCTACTAGGATTCTTACTGGAGAGAAAATTGCTGGACTTTAAATCTGCATACTTTCTTTCCTGCAGTCTCCCAAAGAGGACTTAATTTCCTAGGATCAGGGGAGATCCCGTGTTCAGTATCCTTCTGGTTCCTGCATTCACCTCTCCTCAGACAGGATGGGGGCACGGCACCCAAGTCCTGCTGTCAGTCTTCTAGGAGAGACTTCTGAGGGGCTGTGTAACACACAAGCACGCCCTCATTCTCTTTAAAATTAGTTTCTCTAAACACGCTCCTTCCAAGTTGATGAAGAAATCGCCACTGAACACTAGAAAGTAAATAAGTATAATGTAGAGCATTCACTTTTTATAACTACACATGTTTTGATTGCCTTGTTTTAAACAGACTGCAGTGAACCTGCCCCCTCCTAGTTTCTGCTACGTTCTTGCTGCTCATCCTGACCACGTCGATGCTACTGGAGGAGAGCAAGTTTCAGATTTGTATTCTCCTCCAGCTGTGTACACTCTCAAGGAAATTCTTCAGGTAATTTTTTTACAAGCTTTACATGTGAAATTTATTGGTAGATTAACAGGTCTGCAACAAAATATTTAGCTCACTTTTTAATTGTGTTTCAGATGTGTGACTTAAATAAGTGTTGCAGCTTTTGGGCACATGTTATGCATCGAAGACTGAAGGTAACCTTCCTTTTGTTTTCTTAACTGTCTTAGCAAACCATCAGAAGATCATATGAAAACATGGTCAATACATTAAGTCTCACTTCTCCCTGGCCCTTTTCATATATTATTTGGAAGTTCTGTCTGGTTTGGTGGCAGGAAACAGTTTTTCTTCAGAAGTGTCCAGGAACAACAGATCTTGAAATTCCTTCCTGTAGCAGACTGACTACATTGGGGGTCCCCAGCCTGATGCCCATGGACAACATGGCGCCCTCCACCACCTTTTGTGGCCCTCTCCAAGTATTTTTAGGAAGTGGGTGGGCTGGGTGGGACTCCTGCCCAGCAGAACTTCTGATTGGCCATTGGAGATTGGATTGGCCATGCAGATAAAAATAATGTTGTTTCAGTGGCATTTGCCACCACAGTATTGGTTTTATTCTCTCTCTCACTCCTCATTCCCAGTGTTCTTTTTTTAAATTACTCCTCTTGTCCCCACACTTGGCCTTCCTCTGTGTGTGTTTGTGTGTATGCACGTGCGTGTGTGGCTGTCTTCTTTGGTGGCTATTTTGTGGTTGCGCCCACCACCCTGTGTTAGAGTTCTAGAGATGCCCACTGGATCAAAAGGGTTGGGGGGCCCTGGATTACATGATCCATTTCCTGCACTACCATTTCTCTCTCGCACAAAAAAGTGTAAATGGTGATTGAGTCTGAATATTTGCTATATTTAGAAAAAGCAACAGTTTGCCAATATCATTCAAGAAAATCCTCTCTATATATAGACTCTGTTAAGATGAGTGGTACCTCATATGTGCCGTTTCTCCTGGATGCAGGGTGGGTATACAGGAGAAGGAAAGGGGGAATGATTCGATCTACCACAGCAGTTAAGTTTTAGCTGAATGTATATTTATGCAGTAATAACATATACATGAAAATGGGAACGTGACTACAGAAATACTTAGAGATGGTGTTTCCATCCCCACGGGTAAAAGGAGAAAGTAGGAATTGCATATTCAAGACTTTTAAACATGGTGAGATGATTTGACATGTAAATTACCCTTAAGAACTCTGAGTTAGACCTAATAAGACCCCCCACACACACACCGTTTCCCTCAACCTCAAAGACCCTTCACCCCACTTGCTATTTGCCCTGCTGAGGAAAATGTGTACATTTTCCCTAACATGACAAGTAACAGTTGTTATGTATCAGTTTTTAAAAAGCATTCAGATTACCAATTCATGGACCTCCAAGTGTCTTAACTAGTCTTGTGGAACCTTCAAGATTAATAGATTTATTTTGACATAAACTTTCTTGGAGAAGAAAATATCTGATAAATTGAGTTTTAGTTCCCAAAGTTTATGATATAATATATCTGTCAGTCTTTAAAGAGCCACAAGACACTCTTTATTTTGAACCAGTCCTAGAATAGCAAGGCTCTGAATAGTTCCTGAATGAATCAGCTTTGTAGATTAATGGAGTAATCCAACAAGAGTTAAAATGTTCTAAGAGCTTGCCATGAGTGGAACTTCAAGAAAATGCTTGGATTCTTTGCATTGTGCTTTGAGATGGGTTTTTTTTAGAGTTGATGTTTTGGTGTGACTTGAGCCACTTTCATAGTTGGGGTTGGGTGGGTTTGATCTCAGGCTGATAGCTCGTATATCTTCTGTGAAAGGATGTATTCTTGGTCTTTTGCTGATATGTTTAGAAGACTTTGGAAACATTTGCCATTAGCTATGGGTTACATTTTGACCCTGGTTGTTGTACTAAGGCTACCAGATTCCCACCAGAGGTGGGGGAAACCCCGCTTTTGTGGGGTGCTTCCCCATCACCAGCCAGCTGGCCAATGGGGGGATATCCCACCCCCAACTGGCCTGAAAGGTGATGTGATGACATCGCCCAGAAGTGATGTCATCACATCGCTGAGGTCACACTGCAGTGCTCTAATTTTGCGGTAAAACTCTATGATAAAGTTGCCTGCAAGCCATAGAGTTTCACCTAAAAACTAGATCATCACCCCCTAACTTCAGTGATGTGATGACATCACTTCCAGGTGACGTCATTGCACCATGCATGTGAAGCGCATGTGGCAGAAGATCCAGGAACAGACCCGGGATTCCCCCCCCCCACCAGCTGCCAGGTAGGATCTGGCAACCCTAAGTTGTATCCAGGCAGCTCTCCACTTTCCACTTTACCTTTGACAATTAATTCACCGTAATAGATTATATCATTCCATTATATCAACACGCTTAATACTAACATTTTTAACTGTCGTATTTTATCCCACCCTTCCACAGAGGAACAAATATGGACTTGTTTCGTTCTCTCAGTTATCCACCCAGCAACAACCCTGTGAAATAGGTTGAGAGAGACTGGCTGAAAGTCACACAGTAAGCTTCATGGCAGAGTGGGAAATTGAACCCACGTCTTTTTAGCTCTAGTGTGACATTCTAACCACTACACCAGTGTTTACTCACTTGTCAAGAGCCCCCCCCTCCTTTTTACAATACAGCACTAGCACTGTTCATAGAACACTAAGGTAACAGCCAAGTTATGTGCTCAGGCAATTAAAGTGCAAAGCAAACAATAGATCTGTTTTTTAGGAGTTTTCCTCTCTTGTTTTGAGCTTATGCTTTTTTAGATTTAATATGCAATATTTTATTATTTTTATTCTTTAAATGTGACAATTGGTATATTTTAGCTTTGTAATGTGATACCTTGTATATTTGAACAATGTCATACTTTTTAGCTATTATACCTAAATAGGTTTTTATTCTGTTCTCTTTCTGAATATGGTTGCTGACCATAAGAAAACCTAACTGAACTGAACAGAAAGTAAAAAATAATAAAAAGAAAGTGCCATACCGTTGGGAGAGCTTCCTGAGGTATTAGTTTGGACAGTTTAAAACATGTTTTGTGAATTACTGCAGTTACAGAAAGACTGGTGGATTAGAGAGAGACTTTGGCTATGATATGAGATGGGACATTTGTTCCCTCAGACCTACCCTAGCACATGCAAAGATGACATATTTGGAAAGGAAAGTGGCAGTATGACGCATTTGAAAGAAGACTAGCTGCCCTGTTACCTTCAGTGGACTAAGACTGTACTCTAAAGTTCCTGTCTAAAAAATGACATTACAGAAATATCATATGGCTGTGAGTTTGCCAGTACTTCACTTTGGTCTTCTGTCTGGCCACCTAAGTGTAAACTGACTTCATTTCTCATCCTTCTTCAGCAATCCTCCTACATGCCCTAAAACTTTCCCTTCAATTTAACATTTTAGATATCCTTAATGTTCAATACATTTCTGAGATCTGTCCCACCAATCAACTATTTTACTACATTTCCAACAAAATGTATTTAACTTATCTGAATGTATTTAGTCTGCTTCTATTCCAAAGGCTTAGATTGGATAGCGTTATATTACAATCAAATTAACGTCCAGTTAACCAATGTATAAAATCAGAGTCCAGCATTTTGAATTTAACTTTGCAGGGTTCTGGTAAGTAGCTAGAAATGGCCTGCTTTCTCCAGAGATTTACAAACTCAAGCTGAGCTCACTGTCTGTCTCTCTCTTTTTCTTAAGGCAATCAATCATGCACCTCTTAACACCATTATCTATTGTTAAAAGGCCTGCTGTACAGATTGGATTAGTCTTTTTATAATTGGATACTTCCTCTTTTGTATTTACTTACTTGATGGTAACAAAATAATTGTATTTAGCTTTTAAAAAACCTTTGATAGTCGAATGAGCAAGGCAGTTCACATCCCACAGTAATCGCTGCTTGCTCTTTTGTGCTCTCACACATTCCCTGTGCATTCTGATTAGAAGTGCCTCCCACGGGAGAAATTCCACATCAGGAGACAAACAAGCCAGGAACGTTTTGTTTTCTAAAAATTATTTGGAAGGGTTCTGTCTTGAGTGTGATTCTTATCTTCTGCCCATGTCTTCACTTCAGACCAAGGGATTGTTGTGTGTACTTCTTTAAGTACTTCCGGTTGCAACTAGGTATTTTCAGGTCAATATCTCATTCCTGAAAGAACAGGTATCAAGCTATGAGTTGTACTTAGTAAGTAGCAGCTTCTCTTTTTTTGGTTCACTGATATTCTCCCCCAACACACACGCGCTATTTATGTTAATAAGTGATGCTGAGGGAAGAGAATTCAAAGGATGGAATACAGAAGAATATAGGAACATATAAGCATTTGTCGCCCTTAAATCCCAGAAATTCAGTGTCATTTGGTGGTTCTTCAAGATGTTCCATTGTGTATATCAGAGGCTTCTTTCGGGATCAGCAACGTTCAGACACTGGCAGTATTTGCCAATGGCCTGCTGGTAACCAGGAAGGGAACAGCAAGCAGTTGTATGTGGTTTTATAGACTGCAGAGATGCCTCCTGGCAATCTGCAGGGTTAAGATATTTTACAGCTATTTTTTTTTTTTAAAGCCCTACGTAATTCAACATTTAAAACTTCATAAATGATTTAAAAAATTGAACTACAAATCAACAGAATCACATTTTTGTAGTAGTCAGAATACAAATCACTTACCTTTTCCAGCCATTCCAGACAAAATGTCATGGCTAGAATTTGTTTACTGCTTCAGCCCTTTCCAATAGGATTTGTGTCCTTCATACAAATCTGGTGCATCATAAAATATGGAGAAGAAGAACTTGATTCGGTTTAGATTTCTTTTGCAGACTTATTTATTCAGAACTGAGGAGCAGTGCCTAAACTTGAACCAAGAGGAAAGGCAGAGTATAAATACTTTAATGAATAAATAAAATTCTAAGCAATTTTGTACATATGTGTATGTAGGTATGTGTGCTAAAATCACTAGGGTTGCTCCGTGTGGCCGTTTGAGTAGGAACTTTTCAGTTCTTTCTCGTTGTGAAGAGGAAAATGGAAATACAGCATTTTTATTATTACTATTCATAATAAGTATTATGGTACAAGAGGAAAATGAGGAAATATATTCCATCTGGACTTGGGGCAGCTGTACACACATAACTCAATCCTGCTGCTGTTTGTCTGTTCTGGCCTTTCTGTTCAGAACAAATTGACACACATACAGGAAGATAATAGTTTTAAAATGACTTGTGCTTATGACTTATTATTGTTGACTTTGTTTTTAATTTGGCTGATTGTCCTGCTGGTCAGAATCTAAAATCTGGTATTTAAAAGCTCTGCGATTCCTCCTGTGTGACTTTTTAAAAAATAAAACCCGGCCTTTCAGTGAGCTTTTGAAATTTTGCAGCAATAGAATATTTGTTTGGAGTAGTAACTATAAATCTTCAAATGGAGACAACAGCAAGTTTGGATTTAATACTTGCCATATTTTAGGTTTTAAAAATTGCTCATATTTTCCAAGCGCTGTGTTTTGAGGCTATTGCTATAAATCAGTAGATAGAATTTGTATTGTTAGGGTTTCATTCAAATGTCATCATTTTCATTTTAAAAAATCAAATATATAAAAATGATTTTTAATGCTTTGTGGAGGTGGGGGGGGTGAGGAAGTGCTAAGCCCCCAAAAGAAAATAAAACAGATGTTCTGATACTAGTCAAGTGTATTGATTCAAGGCTACATTTGGTTATTGTGATAAACTTGTTTGTTCATGATGGGCATGCATCTGGCTTGCTTTTGTTTTTGCATGCTTTCCTCCATTTTCTGCTTGCTTGTGAAGTGCAACTGAATGCTTCCTTGCTTTGGACACATTCAAATGAACTCCAGTTTGCCATAATGTTGAAGTGCAGGTGCCTGGGTAAACTGGGGTTTGTTTCCTTCCCACAAATTGTGGTTCTAAACTATGACGCAATCCTGGGTTAGGGGGGAAGAAACAAAAGTCTAGGTTGCCCAGGCAACTGGACACAGATGTCTCAGCTAATAGCAGTTTACTGAAAGCAGAAGAGTTCAGTCCCCCTTGCACCGGGGAAGGGAGGGCATGAGCCCAGCAGCAAGCCAGGTTAATGCCTGCCCACCACAATCCACCTTCTGGCTTCTGATTGTCTCAAGCCATTGGCTTTTGGTAATTAATACCCATAGTGTTGTCATATTACTGAATGACAACAAAACATGGGAGGCAATGGGGACAAACTTAAAATTTGTAAAACCTCCAGATAACTAAGAAACTAGGATCAAATTTTATTCCAGATTTACTACTATCTTACTGCTTAGATTAATATTGGTAATACATATATTATTTCTCCCAGGTTTTGTTAATAATAATTATATGAAACATCTCAATAATGAGTCTGAACTCTCTTCCAGTGCTGAGTATAACACTAAGGATGGGCATTCTTACTATGAGGTCATTTATTTTGATATCCTTTACTTTTAGCTGAATGTTTTTTTTCTTCCTATCCTAAACAAGCAGGATATTTATGTTGTTTGGGTAGATGACTTTGTTTCACCCATTACCTTCTGTGAATCATCTGTTTTCTATGCATCCTTGAAAAATGTTGACGTTAGTCCAAGAGGAAAACTTCCAGGCTTGTACATATAGTAGTTTCTACCAAGTGAGTGGAGTACATTACACAGCCTAATAATGATGCCACTTGTGTTTTTCTTATGTAAATCTTAGATTTATTTAAATGAAAAAGTCATCACACATGCAGAGCGTTTTTAAAGTTGGTTGGTTAAGAAGCACTGAGCTGCCAGAGTTTGAAAGTCCTGATACAAAATGGTTGCTTATACCACCGTCTTAGTCCACCTCCCCCCTGCTAAAATGTGCAACCAGGGCTGTTTTTGGGCAGGAACGCACAGGAACGGTGTTCTGGCTGGCTTCAGAGTTGGCCACGCCCACTACAGCCAAAACCTCTGCATGCGTAGCTACAGAGGGAAGGCCTGGAGAGCGACCCTCCCCCGGTGACTCCAAGGCGGGCAGGGCAGGAGGGGCCCTGGAATGATCAGGATCAGGGAGCCTGGGCAAGCCAAGGGAAGGCAGTTTAAACTGCCTTCCCTTCCCTTAAAACAAGGGGGGGGCTTGCCTGGGCTCTCTGCAGCCACGGGCCCCCGGGCAAGCCAAGGGAAGGCATGGGGGTGTGGCCTAATATGCCAATGAGCTGTGCTGTCGGGGCTGTGGCCTAATATGCTAATGAGTTTCTGCTGTTGGGTGTGGTCTATTATGCTAATGAAGTCCTGCTGGGCTTTTTCTACCAAAAGAGCCCTGTGTGCAACAATAGCTAGATCAGCATTCTGTTGCAAGGCATGCAGCTCTGTTCCACCTGACCAGAAGCTGTTCAGCTGTGCTCACTACAACAGTTTGCTGGCAACTTTGCAACATCTGTTACCATCTCCTCAGTTTCTACCTATCTCTAAATCCCATGCAGTGGATGCCACTGAGTCACCTGGGGTTTCCCTAAAGTCTTCAGAGCAGGAGTCTTGGTAACTGCTGCTGTTATGGTACAGTGGGCAGGTCTGGCTTGCAGCAGGAAATCAGTAAGAGGACACCGGGAGACTGGACCCAACATTTCTACGAATGGAGTGTATTTGCAACAGCAGTGTTTACCACCTTCCCACAGCAGCTCCCTTTGCCCCTACCCACTGTTGTGGGTCAAGAAACCTCTCAGAACAATATATGGAGGTTTCAGGGAGATGTGCCGCAATGAGAGCTCATTGGTCCAAATCCTCCCTACACCAGCACTGCATGAGTGGAGTCTGAGTTCTGTGAACGAGGACACCTTGTGTAAGAGTGAGGTGTTGATACGGACCAGTTTCCTCTTGGTGCCGTTTGCTATTCCACATAGTGTATTCTTCTGGAGGGTTCCTGGTCTTCAGCAGCAGGCTGGTTTTTTTGCAGGTGTAAGGGATGTGGTAAAAGTTGCTTCTGCAAACTTGCTGTGTTCATACAAGCTTAGCTCCAACCAGTGTTCTGCTTGCACTGGCACTAGGAGCCTTGCAGCCCTTTGCTCTACTGTAGAATCGAGTAACATGGCATTGTGTATGTCACACAGTTCATGCTATCAATGTATAAATTCAGGCAGCCAAACTGAACAAGACAACCTTCTTCAAAATCTAATTCTGGACAAAAAATAATGTTTATTTAATCATATATCGTGTAGGTGTATGTATATTTGTAATTTCTTTTTCTTTCAAACTCTAGGTTACAGGCACTGCTCCCTCAAGCCAAATACAATTTTGGCTGTTTGTGACCGACTTCTCACTACAGGGTGAGGCTGAGGTCAGTGTGAAAACTCCCAGAGCTCTGCCGGTCTCCATTGCTTCCTCATGTGTGGTTGATATGGAAGTGATGGAGGTACTCAAGAATACATCCCACTGTGTTGTTTTCTTCAAGGATGCCCTTTGTGGAAATGGTAAGTACTAGAACGAGCGCTGCCAAATCAACTTTTATTAGTTCTGAAAGATTCTTCATGCCACCCCAAAATATATCCTAAGAACTCAGGAACAGCAGGTTGGCAGGCATTCTGCATTTTACAGAAAGGAGAGGGCCCTTAAGAACTTTGTCATCTGTCTATTTTTGCTCAGGAATACTTAGATTTTAATCTTCTAATGTTATTGTTTATCTCTTCTTGAGAGAATGAGTGTACCTTTTGTGTGTTAGATATGTCTTTATTTATTTATTTATTACATTTCTACCCTGCCCTCCCGCCGAGGCAGCTCAGGGCGGCTTACAAACAGTTTAAAACAACATACAATTTAAAACCATCAAATACAAAATATAAAATACAATGAAACTAAGTAAAAACGGCGGCATCCTATGATAAAGTGCTAGTGCGACCCAACCGGTGCAGTCAGTTCTTATTTGAACGCTTGGTGAAACAGCTCACGTTTTTACGGCTCTACGGAACTGCTGGAGGTCCAGTAGAGTTCTAATCTCATTGGGGAGCTCGTTCCACAGCGTTGGCACCACCAGGGAGAACGCCCTGGTCCTAGTTACCACCAACCTGGCATCTACAGTCTTAATCATGAGTGAAACTTCAGTAAGAACAGAGAGGTTTAAGGCTTCCTTTTCTCCAGTTTTTGGCAAGAAGCAGATAAGCCCTGTCATCTACAGTTATTGCAAGGCATTGACCAAATTGGCCTTAGAAATATAATGGCCAACATTTGTTTAAATCTCTTTCATTTTCAAGAATACAGCCCTGCTGCTGCATCTATAATTGCCAACATAGTATTTACTGTTGCATATGACTATGCTGGAAAGAAATTAGGACTGGATTATAATCACATTCTGGGGAAGTTAATCACTAGATGATAATGACCTTTGGTCGTTGTGAACCTCTCTTGCCTTTGAGCTGTTGACCTATTTATATAAAAAAAATCTCCTGTCAGGCTTCCAGATCCACTGAATCACCCACTTCATTGGGCAGAAATCTGGGGAGCAAAGTACAGCCTGTCTAGCTTCTGAACAACTTGGCAACAACAGTCCCCCCTCCCCAAGCAAAAAATACAAAACAAAACCAGATAAATTTTTCAAGTAACAATAAATTTAACAGATTTTCTCCCTTCTATTTCTCATATTTGCTTAACTTTATCCTAATGTGTGTTTACTTTTCAGAGGTCAGTACATCAGACCAATTCAAGCTTAGTGAAAGGCTGGCTGGGAACATTATTGGCCCAGATAACAGATATGATCACCTTCCCCCCCCCCTTGTTACTTTAACATATCAAAATGTCTTTGTTGGCAGGTAGGATTATTTGCATTGAACGTACCATTCTCTCGCTACAAAAGCCCCTTTTGTGTAGGGCTGCTGGTGCTGACATCACCAAACTGACTGGCCCTGTCAGACTAGATGAGCTGGATTCTGCAACTCCAGTCAATTCCATTTGCACTGTAAGAGGTTAGTACCAATCTTTCTGAGGGTAAAAAGTTTGCTAATGGTTAGTCTTAATGAACTGCTCAATGCTGTATTAACATAGTAACATAGAAAATGGGGGTGAGGCTGTTGTGTGCTCTTAGCATAATTTGTAAATTATTCTATTCTGGTTTTGGCAAATGCTTACATTTATGGGGGAGGGGGTAAACCTATCTGTATTTAAAGTCCTCCAGTGCTTATTAAAATCAGTGTCAGTGTATAGCTGTGGAATTGCTTTTATAAGCTTTACTGTCATTTTTACTTCCTATTCTAAATGAAATTGTTTTTTGCCCATTGCCCCTCTTCAACAGTTAATTAGCAGACTAGCAGCCTCACTTTGCTAATTATTCCTACATTCATCTGTATTCTTTTGACCCCAAGTCATCAGTAGGTACTGAACAACAAAAGATATGTGGAATGAACATTGTCCATCTTCAGACAAGGGACCTATGTGTTCTAGTTCAAACTGAGAAAATGTCAAACATTGTCTAAGCCATTGCAGTGCAATCCTGAGCAGAGTTACTTCTAAGTCCATTGAAACTAATGGCCATAGAAGGGTTTAACTCTGCTCAGGATGTCAGTGTTAATCTCTTTGTCCACTATATAAAGGCAGAGATATTTCAGTTATGTATTTTAATGGTGCGCATGCAGCAGCTGTTTCCCTGGGAAGCTGATGGAGTTCATCTTTCGTTCCAGGAGTGCCTCTCACTGGATCTCTTTCTGTGTTCCTTGGTGGGAGGAGTAGGGGGAATGGAAATACAGAGCTTGTAGGGAGGCAGTGACTGTGAACATTGCTTTCTCCTTCCACCGCAACATCTGCTTTCAAGGAGGAGGGCTGCTGCCGTTTGCTGCTCCACTTGGCACAGTGCACTCCTTCCTACAAGATCTGCATTGTGGTAGGGAACGCCTCTCCCCACCTGCACTTTCTGTGGGACAGAGGAGAGGGAAGACTCTCCATCCCACTGTCTGCTCCATTTAGAATATCTTGTCTTTACTACCTTTGCCCTCCTCTTACGCTTCCCAGCCAACTCTGACCAAGTAGGGCAAGAGGGAGAAAGAAGATTCTTTTTCTCTTCCCTTTTCCATGTGTTCCCTCCCTGCTTGACTTTTCACCATGTCCTTTTGCTAGCTGCTTCCACAGCTTGCAGAGTGAAGCACCGGATAAGAATACCATGGCTGCTTTCCTTTAAGCTTGGGAATAGCCAGGCTACAGTAGTTTTCGATAGGCTCCTCCACCAGCTTAGAGGCACAGAGGCAGTGCTCAAAAGGGAGTCATAAGTGCCCCCTTGGCTACTGCTAACACCCCTTTGGATCACGTGTTCTGGAGACAGATGGACTAGAGACAATGATTGTCTTTTCCTCTTTAAAGACAGAGCAGATGCAGATGACAAAGAGGCCTATGACATCTCTGTTTAGCAAGCACTAAGAATCTGTCTGGGATCTCTGATCAGTTCTGACTGCAGTTCTTTGCACAGTGGTGGGGCTTTTGATAGGATGATATGGAGGAAATAAGTAGCAGGCTCCCTGCTCAATTCCAGACTGCCTTGACCAGCCCGCACATCATTCTTGTATACTGCATGTGCACACGAAGCTTGGCTGCAGAAAGTCATTAGTGGTTTGAAGCTGGCACGTATCCTTCAGCTGTTGAATGACTTGTGAGGACTAGGGGCATGTGGAGGCAGTAGTTCCAACACCTCTTTTTTCCTGCGATAGTAAAAGATTTCTAACAATCTGCCCTGCCTGACCCCCAAATATCAATGATCCTTGGTCCCCCTTGTCTAGTGACACAGCAGAAAGTTCCAGTTCCTGCATCTCCATGTAAAGGGTCTTCGGTAACAAGACTGGAAAACACCATTTTGTAAGGCCTTGGAGAGCATGGCGAATCACAGCAGACAGAAGTGGGTTAGGTAGGCCAAAGTTCTGACTTTGCACAAGGCGCCTTCATATGCTCGTGTGCTCAGCCCAGTTCACTAACAGAGATAGCCATCCATAATAGCTTTTCAAACCAGTCCTTCCTACATTGCTTTGCTGAGAAGTGTGTATAGTTCAACAATTCATCATACATGCCATGTTGTCTGTAATAGGTCTAGTCCTATTTAGGACTGCTGTAGAAGTTCAGTACTACATAAAGCTTTTTGGGGAGAATAGCTGGTGACCATATTTTTGTGAATAGATGATTGAGGGCTGATGATGTGAATTTTTTCATTTTTGTCATAGTTTCACAGAACAATACTGTTTCCAGTGTTCTTGATACCAAAACAGTAAACTCACTTTTACCATCAAGCCTCCGTTGTGGTTTGTCACTTTGTCTCCCCATCTGTTTTGAAGTGGGACCAGCTCTTTTCTGCATAAGGCTGAGAAACAAGTTTCTGGCTATTATCACATCAAATGAATAAAACCTAGCCAAAGGAGTAGGTCTACGCCTCATCTCATCACCTTTACTGATTAAAATAGTCCTGAAGAGAAGCCTTGCTTTACCCAATATTGGGCAACCAAACTATTGATCAAGGCTTTTCAAATGATTATTCAGTGGTCATACTTGTACAGAAGGATCATGTCATGTTAACATTCTGCCAGGAAAAGTCAGGTAAAGGTTTTCCTTGCTCGAAAGCCAGTCGAATCCGAGTCTAGGGGGTGGTGCTCAACTCCGTTCCAAGCCAAAGAGCCAGCGCTGCCCAAAGACGTTTCCGTGGTCATGTGGCCGGCATGACTAAACTCCAAGGCACACGGAACACTGTTACCTTCCCACCGAAGTGGTACCTATTTATCTACTTACAATTTCTTGCTTTCAAAATACTAAGAAAAGTAATAAACACTAATTTTCACTTCCTACGAATGGGTCAGACAGTCACAGTAATGTAATTAGGATTGTTGGAATTGCCTGCCAGAGCCCCAGTGCAATGAGGGAGCCCCAAGAACACTGTCAAATGTGCTTCTCTCTACTTGGGGTCCTCCCCTTGCTTACATTTTTGGGAAATAGTCCCAGGATCCTGGTCTATCCTCCTGCTCCAGTTTGGCCACTCAGGTGGCACTCCTCGTACACGCCCTTTTTCCCCAAGCCTAAAAAGACAGAATCTTCTGATTTTGAACCAAGCCTCTTGTCATACAAGTGGAGCCAGAATCTGCCCCGAACTGTGCTCTGTCTTGCCGTGTACCCTGAGGTGCAGGTACTGTCGGCTTCCAAACTACTGTATTTGTGTTTGCATAGTTGTCAAGCCCCCAGTCCGACATCCATCCCTAGTCTCCGCTGTTCTTACCCCTCCGTTACTTATGGATTATTGACTGCCTAGGTGCTCAGATCCTTGCCTGGGGAATCAGACCTTTGCTGGAGCTCCACAGATGCAGCTCCTGCTTTACCACTATGCCTTGTTGCATTCCTGCCCCCCCCTTCTTGAGAGGAATACATTGCACTGTGTGCATGGTGTAACTGACATATAAGCTGCTGAGAATTATTACTGTATACTTGATACTATTTTGACGGCTTGTGTGTGCTAATTCTCCAAGCCAGCTGTTTGTATTCTTTCCCTCAATGAACTTTGTTTCACTCTATCCAGATTCTCAATATTATTTCCAAGTTTGTAGAGGAGCAATGACATTTGTCAACAGAGCTCTTATATTTCTAGGGAACATTTCCCAGATTTACAGTGCAATCCTAAGCAATGTTGCATCCTTCTTGGACTTGGGAGGGCCCAACACTGTTTAGGATTATACTGTTAGTGGAGAACCATTGGTATAATAGAGATCTTAAGCTACCCACTCCTGTAGTGGAGGAATGAGAGATGATGGAAGGAATGTTTCTTCCTTATGCTCAGGCAGTCTTTGTTGTACACCTGTCTCCCTTACCACACTTAGTAAGATATTATGTGCATTACAATGAGTTCAAGGGGAGAAAACAGACATTTTCTCTTCAGAATGTCGCAATTTGGTCAAGATATATGAAAACCTCTTTTGCCAAAAGCCCTTCAACAATTATTAAAATATAAGGGGGAAATAAGAACCTTTTACCGTCATAGTAAAATGTTTTTCTAACACATACAAGGGGGAGGTTGCTTAACAACTCCAGTCTGCTATTTCTAATTCACCTGTTTAATGTCTAGATTTATTTTTTCAAATAAGAATACAGGGTACCTTGGAATAAAAATGTTAGCTAATGAACCATGCATAGCAAAGAATGCATAGTTACCACTTTTTTCTACATTATTTCTCCCCGGCGCTATCATCTAGTAAATGTATAACTCCCTACAAAAAATCCAGTACCTAGTATGTATGTGCTAGGTTTGAACTACTGATTTTCCACAGCCAAGATGAGTATACCTGTAGGTGCAAGCTGGCTGTGGCAACTGAGAGGGGAGGAGGTGGGGAGTCAGGATTCTCACTGACTGCTTCCTCCAGCACTCTCCTGATGACTGATCATGGCCCCCTTCATGTTCAAGAAATTGGGGGGGGGCTTCTTTGCAGAATGTTTAGGTTGAGAACTTGAATGATTTTAGCGGACAGTCCTGACCAGTACTGAGCCACAGAATACATAACAGAACGCTGAAGCTGGTAGCAACTTGTCTGAGTCTGACTGCACAATGAATCCAATGCTAAATGCTGAGCAGGATCATATGTTAGACTAATGTTCTTAATTGGCTGGTGTTGTCTGGTTTTACTTGCTAGTTCTTGTGAGTGTTCTTAGTTTCTATAATGACTTCCATTGGTTCTGCTTGTGGGCCACCTTGGCCACTCTGTGCCTGGAAAGGTGACATGTGAATCAGCTAAGTAAAATCAATAGCATTGAGTTCTAGAAGAAAGATAGTTGCTCCCCACAAATTTATGGAGAAGGAAGGACAATTATTTAATAAACAGTGTAATCTACACTCTCCTAAACTCTTCATGAGTTTAGAAAGCTGCTTAGATTGGATTGCACAGAAAACCTACTAATTTAGTTCAGTTGGTCATATTGCAAGCCAGCGTCTTGCATTATCCTGATTAAAACTAAGAGAGCCAGTGCTGGGCTTACACTGGAGTCCAAATCCCCAATCCCCTTTGAGAAGACTTGAGTGACTCACTGCCGCTCATCTTATTTCATGGGGTTGTTGAAAAAGACAAATTGCAGTAACCACAAGCCGCACCATGAGCTCCTTGATATGCACATCAATCAATATCCATTTGTGCATCGTCATATTTTTATTATGGACTAAAGTTCTGTACAACAGAAATCTGCAGTAATTGTCAAATATTGCATGTCTCTGAAAATGAATTCTCCAACTATTTTACTCCCTTTTCCTTACCAACCTAGTTAAGTAAATGTTCCAGCACTGCTGACCAGTATACATTACCATTGCCACGCTTGCTTCTCCAGAATTCTGTTTTGTCTCATAGGTTTGAGTGGTTCTTGCACAACTCAGTGGGGATTACTAGGTGTTTGGCCTTTGACGTGTGTGTTGTGAGCTCAGCAATTGTAATCCATTTATTTGCAGGTGTCCCAGATCACCACTCTCTGTTTTACTTGCAAAGGCTGCTACATCCCTCACATTTATTGCTCGGCTCAACACATCACTATTGTTCTAAATCTTTTTACTGGCCTTCCCATAAAGTACCCAATTTACTTGATTTATTACACTTAGCAACAATACTTAACTAGTTATCCAAAATATCTCTGGCCTTCAGTTCACTAACGTTTTTAGTCACGTATGTCAGACACTTTTTAAAGGTTGACTTGATTTCCCGGTTATACTGATATAAATAAGGATACACACATTTTCCAGTTAATAATATGAACTAATTTGACTAAAACAAATTTAAAAGCAGCCTGATGAGTGCTTTTAACATTGTGGGGGTAAAAGAAATGGTAACTGAGTGTTGCTTTCAGAGTGTTGCTTTGAAGTGATTTTTTTTTATGAAGCAAGTCACAGTATACCTAAGGATATTCTTTTTTAAAATCTTATTTTAAAACATCCATGTATGCTGCAGAGAAGAGACACCTTATCTTAATCCAAATTTCCATGACAGTTGAAAGTGGTCATGGTCAGTGTACATTTCATCTAAGCAAATGTTTTCCCTTTTTCTAAGGCATTATTGTTGGTGTTAATGAGGGAACTGCGTTCTACTGGCCTGCATGCAATAGATGTGGTAATGGAAAAGTAGAGCAGCATCCACAAGACGGGTAAGAACATGCTTGTGTCAACTAGCATGCAGATAAGAGCAATCCTGTGGGCATTTATATTACTACTTGAAGTCTCAAAAATCTTGACAGTGTTTCTCACCAAAGAGTCCTAAGGAATTTAACAGTCATGGGATAAGAGGACAATCTGGTCCGTGCCTGCCAAATTTTTGTTGAGGCGTGGTAACAGCCTTTGCCTGTAGTTCCACCAGATAAGAAAATTGTTTTCAAAAGTTGTGGAAGATGGATATATCTTGTGTTTTAATTGTGTCCTGTACTATTAAAATGGGTGTGCTCCATGCAAACTGCAAAGACACCAAGCATGACTAGGAAAAGGCCAGGAGGGGGTTCCTGCCTACTCAGGAAACATGTGAGGTTGCACATACACACACACACACACAAAGGGGGGGGAAGTGGTGAAACCTCATAACCCCCTCAAATAACTCCCAAACGACCTTGACGTGGAGGTTTGCACAGGCCTGTTGCCTTCATGCTGCCAAGGACTGCTGCAGTTGGGCAGATTCACATGGGAGTAGGCAGTCCTTCAAACACCCAAGTCCCAGATGATGTAGAGCTTTAAGTGTCATGGCCAATACTTTGAATTGAGCTGGGATCGAATTGATAGCAAATGTAGCCTGTAGTTTATACTAGATAGTTATCTTGCTGCAGTGTTTGGAACCAGAAGCAGTTACCAAGCTGTCTTCAGAGGTAGCCCACGTAGAACATATTGCAGCAGTCTAGCTCAGATGTGACGAGAGCGTGGATAATTCTGGCCACATCACCTAGGAAGTGCCACAGCTGGTGAAACAATTGAAGCTGGTGAATTGTACAACTTGCCAGACAGGAGATCTGAGCCTCCAGCTGTGAACACTCATCTCATAGCATCCCCAAACAGTGAACAGTGGGAGCAGGCTGGGTGACCTTGGGCCAGTCACACACACTAAGCCTAACCTATTTCACAGGGTTGTTGTGAGGATAAAATGGAGGAGAGGAAAACAAGGGTAAGCCATTTGGGAGCCCCGCTGGGGAGAAAGACAGGGTATACATGAAGTAAATGAATCAACATATTATTTCAAGAGGCCCATCCGGAACAGGCTGGCTCCTTAATTTCTGACTTGGTATAGAATTAAATAAGGGCCTCTTGTCCTCTGATCTGGGCTTTATTGGCCCTCACCCAGCTCATTACAGTCTTACCTGGTAATGTTGAAAAGGAGACATTGACTTTATTTTATTTATTTCTAAAATTATGCTGCCTCTCCAGGGAATCAGCTTGAGGTAGCTTACAAAATGTGATAGAAACACAAACCATTAAAAGGTGTTAATTAAAATCCAGAATTAAAAACCCAGCCAAATCATAAAAATACAGATCACTGAGCAGCTTAGAGTAACAGTTTTCAGACTGAAACCCCATTATGATTTGTTGTTAAAAGATTAATCCCTTAACTGAAAGCCTGGATGACCAGAAACATTTTTACCTGGCACCTAAAAGAGAACAATGTAGGCACCAGGTGAGCCTCAAGGGGAAGGGTATTCCATAAGTGAGAGGCACTACTGAAAAAGCCCTGTCTCTGGTTGCCACTCACCTCTGAAGATTGGGCCACAGAGAGCAGGGCTCACGAGGCAAATCTTTACTGATAGGCTGTACAATACGGGAGGGGGCAGTCCTTCAAGTACCCTCATCGCAAGCCATTAAAACCTTTAATGGTAAGAACCAGCAACACTTTGAATTGTGCCCAGAGACAAATGGGCAGCCAGTACACATCTTTCAGCACCAGAGTGACTGATTGATTGATTGTTTGATTGAAGCCTGGCTGCTGTACTTTGGACCAGTTGAAATTTCTGGACTTGCATATCATACTTAGAACTCCAGGGATGAACATGCCTTGCTGTGTTTAAGCCAGTGACAAGCCAGGGCAATGGCTTTTAGGGTCTGGACAATTTATTCTAGATAGTTATCTTTCTACAAAAACCTCACAGGGTCTGGACAAGCCTTTGTCCATGCACTTCCCAGCTTGAGCAGAGAGCTGGCTGAGGCTGCAAATGTTCCCTGAGGTGGGAAGCTTCAACAAGGAATGGAAAAAGCGGGTAAAACAAAGCAGATGTCCATCTCTTTTTTTCTTCCTCCGCTTAATGCTTTGTCATGGGACCCTATCTCTTGTCTGTGCCCTAGAAATTATCTTGGGGTCAAAGTAAAATGCTCACTGAAAATGTTATCTCAGAACACCATGGCAGTAAAGAGGCCTATTCTGTGTTATCAGCCATTAGGAAAAAGGGATAGGAATGAAGCACTGTAAGGCTATTTTATTTATATAATAAAGCGCATCTTGCCCTTATTTCAGGGAAACAATGTGGAATTACTTACATTTTGAATACTGTAGGCAGTATTGATTGTTTCATCTCAGAAGGTCAATAAAATAATGAGAGGAATGAGATGTAATGGTATATCTATCTAGTGTTCAAATTGTTCCACATACATTGCTTCAGTAATCCTCATAACAACCTTGTAAGTTAAAGCTGCTGCATTGTTGCCATAATTGCCCAAGAGGGCAGGAGAGCTAAGGCTTAAACTTGCCTAAGGCCGTCCAGGGAGGAGTTACTTAGGGTAAGGTTGGAGTTGGAAATGTCCCGGTTCACAGTCTGAAGGAAGGCTCATGTAAGATTAAAACCCTAGAAATGAGGTTACTGGAATCAAATATTGTGGAGATTTATAGAACTATGAGCCATGTGAACAAAAGCCAGTGGAATAAAGTAATTCGTCTTGATTCGTTCATTCTCTCAAAACTGGAGAACTCTGGATCACCCAATAAAATTCATTAACAGTACGTGGAAGACAAACACAAGGAACACTTTGTGAAAAACTTAATCAATGTATATAATTTGTTGCTTGGTTTTTAAGAGGGTCAGGTGCATCCAATGGGAGAGTCATTCTGTCAGTGGTTGTTGAATGTAACTGAGGACCTTCATGTTCAAAAACAGTGAGCCTCTGAGAATATGCTGGGAATAAGCAACAGCAGGGAGACTTTTTTCATCCATGCCCTGCATGAGCATAACCCAGCATTTTCCTAAACATGTGTCCACTGGTGGTATGATTTAGTGTAGGTATGATTGGTGTGGGAGGTGATTGCCGCTACAAATGCCTCCGTTCTGTTTTTCTATCAAGCCAGCCTTCTTGTGGCCTTTAAAGCCCAGTGGAAGAGAAAACAATAAACTAACGGAGGTGGACATTTGCACAGGATAACTGGCAAACAGGGAAAAGTTAACCACTTTCCTGACCTCCAGTTCTCCCTTGACATTCCCCACCACCATTTTTCCAGATTTGCATAACAAAGGGGGCCAGGCGTGGGAAGTCAGTCTTCCCCTCATTACGTGTAGTTTTCCCTGCCTCTTGATGGGATTGTGACACATTAAATCATTTTTGAGAGCCAATGTGGAATAGTCATTCGTGTTTTGCTCTAGTAATAAGGATGAATTCAAATTCCTACACAGCCTCAAAGCTCACTGGGCTGTTGTATGTGGAGTTTTCCACACAGGGACAGGCTTTTGTGGTTTCCCTGTGTCTCATGCTGATAAAGTGCAGTGGCAGCAGGGCTTCCACATAGCAGGTTTCCCTGGTGCAGTCCCCCAGCAGTGGCCACCCATGCCTATTTCAGGTTTTTTTTTTTTTTAATCAGCAATTGATTATCATTAATTAGTAACACAACATGACAGTCTGTGTATCAGGTTCCTTGAATTCCCAGCTTTAATTGTTAAAACATAAGTCTCTAGCCTCTTTCATCACTGATATATGCCTTTCATCTTATATCTTCACAATGAAAGGGACTAGAGACTAACTTTTTTAAAAAACATGAAAGCTGGGAATTCAAAGAACCTGATACACCGATTGTTATATTTTCTTCATTTATATCTCGCCTTTCTCCCCAACAGGTACCCAAAGGGACTTACATCACTCTAGTCTCCTCCATTTTATCCCTGTAACATAGTGCGTGACTGGTCCAAGGTCACCCAGCAAGCTTTTATGGCAGAGCAGGGATTCAAACCTGGGCTCCCAGATCCTCATCTGACCCCCTATCCACTGCACCACACTGACTCTCGATTAACAATATTCAGTTGTTTCTTTTAAAAAGCAGTGGGGGGAAAGGAAAAGCTGCCCTGGGGACAAAGGCAAGGAAAATGGCTGCTGTGTGTTTGGGAAAATCTGAACTTTCACACCCATACAGCTGTGATCCAGATGGCAAAGCAGGTTGGGAAAGACTGGAGAAAAACCTGAGAGGTTGACAAATACACCGTGATGCTGTAGAGAAGCAGGGGAAAACCCCCCACTTCCCAACATAATTGAATGCGGAGCAACTAACTCATGTGGAAATGGCCTGACTCTCAGCCTAATGTAACTTTCAGACTTGTTGTGAGGACAAAGGTGGTGGTGGGAAGCCATGTAAACTATCCTAAACTTCTTGGGGAAAGGTTGAGATTAAAAATGCATAAATAATAGAAATGTAAAGATGAATATTCTCCCAATTAGGCTCAAAAGTCATCTCAAGAGATAACATATCTTGATTACTTCGAAGCAGTCAGAGGAACAGGGGGAAGTCTGATGCCGTATGCTTAAGAAACTTTGCCTTTTCTCGTGCATTTCAGGGGATCACTATACTGCAGCAAGTGCTCAGAAGCCATAACTTCTCCAGTTCTTAAAGTGCACCTAGAAGTCTTTCTGTACTGTCAGTCCCGACCACTTTGCACAGTAAAAGTAAAGGTAGGAAAAGGCTCTAGTAATCTGAACACTGTTCATTTGGACCTAGAGGGACTTAGTGCGTCAGTCAGGAGCTTTGAAAACAAATTTCCATTTCTTTAATAGCCCTGATTGAAGAAAGATGTTCCCTTTAGGCCTTTCTTCAGTCTGCAAAGTCTAAAGATCCTCGGAGTCCTGGTATCTTCAGAGCCTGTTTGTGGCACATTCTAATTCCAATTACTGTCAGTTAATCTGTAGAAGGTGTTAGACGTAGCGTAGACTGGCCTGTGGAGGTTCCTGCCCTGGAACAAGCCCTTTGAATGAATGAGCAATTGCAAGAGGGGAGAACAGTTTGAAAAACCTCACCTACCCCACCCCACCCCCCAGGTTACTCTAAGCTCTTAGGAGCTTGAGCAGACTGGTTTTCCTTCCTCTTGGAGTGGCACACGCTTGCTTGAGGTACTTATAACTGCTCTCAACATTCCAGCCCTTTTGGACCACATTTAATCCTCCTTTGGCTGGTATTTCGGGTTTTTTAAACTTTTACTTGATTTACAGTCATATTTTTTGTACGTGCTGCTTTTTGTCATCCACACAAAGGCCACATACACTGCTTTGAAAGCCCAGGAGAGACCAAACCAGTTGGTTTATACAGCTTTGAACTGCTGAGAGCCAGTTTGATGTAGTGGCTAAGAGTATGGACTCTAATCTGGGAGAACCAGGTTTGATTCCGCACTCCTCCACATGCAGCTGCTGGGTGACCTTGGGTCAGTCACAAGTTTTCTCAGAGCTGTTCTCTCAAGAGCAGTCCTTGAAAGAGCTCTCTCAACCCCACTTACCTCTCAGGGTGTCTGTTGTGGGGAGGGGGAGGGAAAGGAGATTGTAAGCAGCTCTGCAAGTGAAGGGTGGGGTATAAATCCAATCCTCTTCTTAGAATTACAGAATCACAGAGTTGGAAGGGACCTCCAGGGTCATCTAGTCCAACCCCCCCGCACAAGGAAGGAAATTCACGAATACCTCTCCCCCACACCCCCAGTGACAGCTGTTCCACACGCAGAATATGACAAAAAACCTCCAGGATCCCCAGCCAAACTGGCCTGGAGAAAAATTGCTTCCTGAACCCAATGTGGCGATCAGCATTTCCCTGGGCATGTAAGAAGGGGCCACAAGAACTAAGCACTGATGCAGCCCTTCCTGCCCTCCCTCTCATGATCTGCCTAAGTTCACTGCTGTCAGATAGCCATCTAGCCTCTGTCTAAAAACCTCCAAAGGAGAGCCCTCCTCCTCTTCCTCCTCCTTTCCCCCCATGTTTTCATTGCATTTACGCCTTACAGCAGCTGGACGACAATGGATTGACCACCATCCGGTTTGCTCCATGCCTAAACAAGATTCAGACCTTTGTCATTCACATCCAATCCACTCCACTGGCTTTTCCCCTCAAATAATATTTCCGTGGTTTGCTAAAAACAGAGAATCTTCCGCATCCCCCTGTAATACCATTCAGGCATTCTGTGTCTGATTACTTGACCCATGTATTATGGCTTAATGAAATTGTAGCCTTTAGGCAAAATGCTGGATTACATTTGGTTTCATCATAAGCAAGAAGGCATTCACCAAATGCTACCATTTTTAATATGTTCTGAGAGTTTACACATAAACTGATCTCTGTTTTGTCATTTTGCTATTGTGTATCAGCTGCTGCAGAGGACCATTTCTTTGCTTCTGAAGACTTCCTCCACTAAGGATGGGGTATGTATTCTTAAAAGTATATTTATTAAAGAAATCAAAGCTTTATAAATCTAGTATAAACTCGTTAAAATACTTTTTTGAGGTAGAGAGGCTAGCATAAGTAAACACAACTGTGTCTATATAGAACATTTATACCTGTTGATGAGCCAGCATTGTGCAGTGGTTAAGAGTGGCGGACTCCAATCTGGAAAACTAGGTTTGATTCCCCACTCCTCCTCCACAGGAGGCCTGCTAGGTGACCTTGGGCCAGTCACAGTTCTCTCAAAACTGTCTCAGCCCCACCTACCTCACAAGGTGCCTGTTGTGAGGAGACGAAGGGAAGGGAGCTGTAAACTGCTTTGAGACTCCTTGGGATAGAGAAAAGCAAGGTATAAAAAACAACTCTTTTTCTTCTCTCAATCTAAGGATCTACTGGTTTTGTGGACTTTCCAATTTCACTTAAACGATACACTTTGGGTAAAAATACACAACTCAGTGACTTCTTTTTTAGTCCTCCTTTCTTCCTGAGACTGGAAGTGGATTATGGCCATATGAGGATGAGTTATTTGACCACATGCTGAAACTGTGGTTGCACATGCTGTTGATCAGACCAAAAGTAGGCTAGTCAAAAGTATGCCATCTTGTAATGTGCATTGGTCCAGGTTAATGGACGCAACCTGTTGAGACGGAAGTTGGTGCCCCAATGCCACAGAGACTGTAATGCTGATTGTCTTACTTATATCACCATTTTGCCCAGCTTCAACACACTTCCCCATCTGATTGTTAAATTATAGTTTATGTAAACTGAAGAACCAAATGGCAGGATAACCCAGGAGGAAAGAACCTGCCCTTGCTAACGCATCAGTGACAAGGAGTGTGGCAGTATAAATCATAAGCACAAGAATGGTCATCTAAATTCCCTATGAACATTCATTGTTATTATTATTTTATTCGATTTATACCCCGTCCTTCCTACCAAAGCAGGAAGTTTATCTTTTTCTACCCTAAATTAGCTACAAATATTGTGATACTGTGTTTCTCAGATTTTAAATCAATCTCGTTTTCAGATGTGCTTTTCATAATTATTATGTGTTGTTATATGCGTGCTTTGCTTTTGGGGCAATAAAAAGGGGTTAGAAGTATTTTATTTGAAGAGCTCCCTACACAGGATATCTTTGAGTTACATGCTGGCTAGAACAAAATGTGCAGGATTGTTTGTTTAATGAATGTGTTTTATCATTGCAGAGTTATGAAGTGAAGAGTGTGCTGGGAAAGGAGGTGGGGTTTTTATATTGTTATGTCCAGTCTGTAACTAACCACCCATCTAGCTGTGTGGAACTGGAAGAAATTGTTCTTCCTTCTGCAGAAAGAAAGGAAATTCTGCCTGCAATTCAGTCTACGAACTTTGTAGTATAGTTAAGTATTACCGGTACCGGTACTTGATTCTAGACGTGCTATCAACTGAGTGAAGTTTACTGAGAGATAACTTTGAAAGTAAATTGCTGGGGTTTTTTAGCATTCACTACTGGGCATGAGCCAACCCTCAACAAGCATTTTCAATTCCGTTTGATTTGAATTTGAGAAATTACATGTGCTTAAGATCCTTCTGTTGAAATAAATGGAACTTACAAATGCAAATGTTTGGCTGGATTATATCCATTGTATATGTATTTCTAGTCCATCACAAACCATTTCAGAGCACAGGATTTAAATGTGATTCTCCAGCAATATAGTCTTCATGTGGAAGATGTTTTTTTGTCATGAGTTTGAGGGACTGTATTTTTTATAAATAGGTGTGAATAGCTTTTCAATTCATGTTTTCAGATAATGTTTTCAATTAATGTTCTGAGCTGTACATTTTAAAATAAACTGTACATACTAATGCATAGGTTCTAATACTTGTGTCTTGTATAAAATGCATTAAAACAGTTTGCTTGAGGTGCCATGTCTGTATTTATTACTAAATTCAAATAAATATTACAAAGAGTTAAGTGTTTTGCTGATGTGATAAAGAGTGTCAAGGGCATATTCCACTAATGTGGCAAGTTAATAATTGTCTAAATATAGAGGTCTTTGCCTGTTGTTCCTTTAAAAAAAATCACACACAATCTTCCCATCAAGTGGCTGTTGCATTGTATGGTAGAATTAAAAGCAAAGAACAAGATAACTGACTCAGAATAGTTATATTCATTTAATGATAAACCATATTTAAGATAACATAATTTTTCAACTTCCTTTCGGTTTGTAGGTAATTCTACAATTTTTTTCTTTGTTTTTTACACCATTTGAGCACCTTGCAAGTTTCCAACAAAATACTAGCACAGTTTTAGAAAACTGGACTTGGTTGGACTCTGTTCAGTGTCATAGTTCTGATCCAGAATTCTACATTTGCAGGGATTGTTTTCTTTTGCAAGGAGAACAGGAAGCAGCTGCACACATGGGACTTTCTTCTTGCTCCCACTGAGCTTCTTCCCTACTCAGTTTGCTCATGACCACTGTGTTTTAAATGGGAGGATGGAATCCTCTGCCTACATATTAAGGTTGCCAACAGACTGGAGAAAATTGTCCTCCTGTTTAGTAAAGGTAAAGGTTTCCTTTGCTCGAAAGCCAGTCGAATCCGTTTCCAAGCCGAAGAGCCAGCGCTGTCTAAAGATGTTTCGGTGGTCATGTAGCTGGCATGACTAGACGCCGAAGCGCACGGAATGCTATTACCTTCCCACCGAAGTGGTACCTATTTATCTACTTGCAATTTCTTGCTTTCGAACTGCTAGGTTTACCAGAGGTTTAATGCGTGGAAATGAGCAGCTGGAGTTTTTCATGGTGTGGAGGTTGGGTAAGAAGCATCCCATCAATCCTCTGTTATGACAGGGCATTTTTTTCTGCAGGAAGTTGACATGCACATTTCCAAATAAATGTATTACTGGGACAGTGGCAATGTCAGATTTCCTCTCGTGTGGATCGAGCTGGATGTACCTCTGAGGTTTCTAACCAGACATTGGGGTGCAATTTTAGTCAGTAAACACTGGGACAGCCCAATCCCATGTAATTTATGGGGGAAGAGTAAAGCTCCTGTATCTGTTCTGCTACATGGACATGCACTTGGTTGCTGTGGCTATCAAACCTTCCCAGTGTTTCTGTGTGCAGCAAAAAAAATGTGTGGATCATGTGTGAGTATTTGTATGAAGATGGCTTGCAGTTTCCTATATGGCTTTCTCTAGAGGGATTTTATAATTCACAAGAGCATTCCTTTTTTGATCCATTGTCTTGCCACTGGGCTCTTCCCCCCCCCCTCCCCATTCATTATACTTATTGTTAGGTATTGGGCTGTTTCTGTGTATTCGTTGTATAGTAAAGAAATACAGTGAGCCCTGTGTTCCAGAAACCACGATTGTTTGCTTATCCCTGGGAGAAGTTCTATTATCACCATCATGTTTACGTGTTCTTGTTTATACAGTTTATCACCTTCTATGACTTCATTTATCGTCACATGCCCAATTACTGTCACTGTTTGAAATTTTGTCTGATACCTATCAAGCTAACATCCAAGCTTTCTTTTAGTTTATCACTGGAAATCTGTCATTTTACATTGCAGTCCTTTGCTGTAAGGATGGCAGTTTCAGTATACCTTGTACAAAAATTATACCCAGTATAAAACTTTAATATTTTCAGGCATATTGTTAAGCTATAGACCTGTGTGATAACCATATATTTAATTCAATTCCAGGTCTATACAGTTAAGAAAAGGCCTGTGTGATGCTTCATACACTTAGAATTGAATCAAATCTATGGCTAAGAGAAGATCAGGATTTGTCTGTTTGGGATGAAAGGGTGATTTGGGGGGGGGGGTTGTGTCCTTTGCAAGAGAGCATGCGGTGCAGTGTGGGGACCTGTGGTGGGAAAGGAGAATGGTCAAAAATCCCATTCCTTTTGAGGTACTTCGGATGCCACCCATGCAGCTCAGTCCTATGCAGGGAAGCCCATTTGTTTCACTCAGCTCAAGTATATCCAAGTCTGCAGAGGATGGCAGCCAATATATTACTGCCATAAGTTCTGAGGTTTCTCTGCTGGAACTCCATTTTTATAGTGTCTCAACAGTAAAATACCATGATTCAAATACCTAACTGTGGTTTAAGCATTTCCTTAGCAAGGAATTGCATGTTCATCTCTTCCCCCCTTCTACGTGCTCACCCACAACTAAAAAGTCAAAATAAATTTCAAAGTGTTTTTATTTTTAGGAACCATGTAAAAATTGATATAAAAGTTTATACTCAGTCTTATTTTTTTTCACTTGCTGTTTACAATAAAAAGTGTTTGAAAATCATTTCTTTACAAAGTACCGTAGCTGCATCAATATGAGTAAGATGTAGGGAAAAGAAAAAAACCCACCCCTATCATTACAAAAATAATTTAGGAAGAAAAAGAGGCAACATTTTAGCTTTTCTTTTTTTCACTATTTTGGCAAGTTTTGTGGTTTAAAGACACAGGCTTAGTTCATTGGAAAAAGAAAGGTGTGAAAGCCAGCTTATTCCGCGCGATTCCAACCTCCCCGGCTCACTTTCTCTGTCCTTGGGAGGCGCGCAGGCAGGGCTGCCAGGAGTCACCGCCTCTCCGCACAGACCTTGGGCACAGTTTCGGCGCGCGGCAGGGCTCCTCGCCCGAGAGTCACACCGAGGCGCGCGCATAGACACGCGGAAAAAAAGGGGGGTTGGGGGCGCCAACACACACAAGCGCGCGCGCGCGCCACTCCCCGTCCACGCAGCTCCCGCTGCTCTGCACGGCTCTCTCTGAGGTATTCTGGAAGAAGTTAAAGTCTCTGGCGTGGTGAGCCGCAGCTCCCCTCCGCAGCCGGTTACCGGCAGTCCGTGGCCGAGGGGGCCTGCAGGAAGGAAGCGTTGGGCAGCTGCTTGAAGAAGTGCCGGAGGCTGCTTAAGTCCCGGGTCAGCTGCTCGATCTTCTTGTGGAGCCGCTCGTTCTCGGCGGACAGCTCCACCAGCTTCTGCTGCATCTCCTGGTTGCGGCGCTTGGCTTTGTCGCGGCTCTTGCGCACGGCGATGTTGTTGCGCTCCCGCCTCTGCCGGTACTCCGGGCTGAACCTGTCCACGCACTTCTTGCCGGCCCGCTCCTTGCCGCCCGACGACGAGGAGGCGGACGAGCGGCTGCTGTAGCTGGACGGCGAGGCGCTGCCCGGAGGCTCCGGGGAGGTGGGCGGCGTGGGCTGCCCGCTCAGGTTCACGATGGTCTGGGCGCAGGTGGCGATCTGCGACGGCAGCAGCGAGGCCGGCCCCGACACCTCGTCCCCCCACTCGGGCTCCTGCTTGACGGCGCCTCGCAGCGGCCCGGGAGGGACGCTGGCGTGCAGCAGGCTGGCCAAGGCGCTGCCCCCCGACGGCGCCTGGTGCGAGTGTTGCTGCTGCTGCAGCTGCTGCTGGGGGGGCGCGGGCAGGTAGTCCCCGTAGGCGCCGCCGCCGCCGCCGCGCTCGCCGCCCTTGTGGTTGTTGTTGAAGAGGTCGGCGAAGAGCTCGTCGTTGCACAGCTCCAAGTTGGGCACGGCGGCCATGGAGTCGATGTAGGAGCTGAAGTCGATGGCGCTCTCGTCCTCGTACATGGCCGACGCGGCGGCGCTCAGCTCCGCCAGGTCACGGCTGCCACTGCCCGGCCCCGAGGGCATGCCGCCGGACTCCTCGGCGGCCACGGCGCTCATGCCCTTGCACGACGGACTCAGCCCGCCGCCTTCGCCCACCTTCGCCTCGTAGAAATTGGCGGGCTCCAGCGACCAGCTCCGGTAACACGACAGCGAGTCCAGGCTGTCCAGGGCGGCGGCGCTCATTGGGAGCGCTCGGCAGGCGACGGCGCGACGGCGAGTCCTCCTCCAAGGGAGCCCTGCTCGGCCCCGGGCACGCGGGGCGGGAGTTCTCTCGCCTGACCGGACTCCGCTCCTGCCGCCGCCGCCGCCTCTGCCAGCGGCCGCCTTCTCGCGCCCGAACCCCGTCCCGTCGCTGGCTCGGAGGGCGGCTGTCACGCTGCTCCTGCTGCTGCTGCTGCCGCGGCTCTCGGGCTACGACTCGCAAGCGCCACGCCAAGGCAGAGCGGCAACCATGTGGCAGGGAAACCTGGCGGCAGAGGGCCTCCCAGGCGCCCTTTTATTGAGCGCGGCTCCACCTCCTGCCCCTTGTGACGACGGCGGCGGCGGCGGCGGTTCGGGGGGGGGGTGTTGCTAGAGGAGCCTCG